GAATTTGGGCCGAATGCTTCCTTAGGAAAATTATTGCATTTTCTTCAAATTTAATGTAGTTATTCATTCTCAAACATCAATTAACACCTAATTAATACATAATCAAGCCTTAGAACATCAATTAAATGAAAGGATAAAAATAATTTGCTATTTTAGTTCGAAATTTTATCTTTTTCTAATTTTAGAAAATTTTTATTTCTAACCTCAATTTCAAGCTTAATTGATATGTTTCAACCTTAATTTCATAAATTTCTAATTTAATTTAATTTTTTCTCATTTTTTCTCATCAAGAACCCTAACCCTAATTTTCAAAAATTAAGGCTAATAATCACAAATTAAGGCATCCAAAACATCAATTGGCACGAATTAAACATTTCTTATGATTTAGATGAGATTAAATTACTCAATTAAGCTTCAAATTCTCCTTGGAAAGTTGAATTATTTGAAGAATTTCCTCCTCCCTCTTTTCCACACATTCGACCCAAACTTAATATTTTCCTCTTGATGGATTTTGATGTTCAAACTTGATTTCCTTGCTTAATTAGTTATTTTAGAGTGTGTAGAGGTGATTATGTGAATTTTTGGGTGGAAATTCTTAGGAAAATTTTGCAAGAGTTTCCTTTGTATTTTGCTATTTTTTTTGCATGTTCTTTATTATTATTATTATTATTATTTTTGCACCCATATTTATAAGCACATTTTGGTAGATCTTTGATTTTATCTCCACCCTTAGTTTGTTGCAATTTGGTGTAATCATAGCCTTTAAACCATCTTTAAATCCTAGCCTTTCAATTGGATAAATCTTGGCAATTAACCTTTCTTTTAATTTTGGCCCTCCATCTTGCCTAATTCTAACCCCTCCAGTTTAACTTAGTCAAAGTTCATTAATTAAGCCCCAATCATGCTGCTGGAAATTGGCTAAAAGAGTAGAAATTTCTCCTAAAAATGCTTAATTTTGGTCCCTAAACTTATTAATCTTTCCTTAAATTACTCCTTCTTATGTCCCTCAATTTTTCAATTGATTACACTAGGTCCTTCTTTTAAATATTTCTTAATAACTTTTTAACACCTAAAGTTCATAGCTAAATTAATTTGAAAGTTTTAAATTTTAATTTTATGCAATTAGGTCACTAATTTATATGCAATTAGGTCCTTAACTCTAAAATTTTACTCCATACCTTTCCAAAATTTAATTTCTTTTTATAATCAATTCAAAAACTTCCTATAAGAATTTGATCATCAATCACATAATTTTTATACCCTTATTTAGGCCTTCAAATTAATTATTTAGTGTTAAAATATACTTTTTCCCATAGAAAATACTAGGTCTTTTACTCGCGCTACGCTACAGGTAGGGTAAAATATATAAAATCATTTAAAAAAATTATTTTAGTTTGATAATTTTTTTTATAGTGTGAATGTATAAAAATATATGAAATCAAAGGTGAAAAAAATATTTTAAATTTTTTAATGTAATTTGAAATTAAATGGATAAGAATTAAAAAAATATATGACAAATTAAAGTAATAAATTTGAAATAATAAAACTAATTAGCAAAAAAAATTAATTTAAAAAGTTAAAAAATATTGTATAAATTATAATGATATATTTAAAAAATAAAATATTAACATTCTAAAATTTCATTTCAAAATTCATATATTAAAAAAAATATTAACAAAAAAATTAAATCAAAAAATTATTTTTATATGAATTTTAATAAGAAATAAATAATTTAAACATTAAATTTAAACAACCAAAGTAAGATATATATATATAATGTGAGAGAGAGGGAGAGAGAGAGAGAGAGAGAGAGAGAGGGGGGCGCCCGGTTGTATGCCAACTAGGATAGGCGACTGGTTGGCTTGTGCAACCACATAGTTTAAAAAAAAAAAAAATGTGAGGGAGGCTAGGCGTGGTCGGCCTCTACGAGTGAGCTTGAGCGCCAAGCTTGCTCGTAGGGGAAAAACAAAAAAAAACAAGACTCGCAACTTTCGACGAAGTCGAGGTCGTCGAAAGTTCATTGAAAAGTCGAAAGTTAACTTTTAGACCCTTAAAAATTGAATTTCGACATCATTTTTTCCCCAAACACCTCTAAATGATCGAAAAAAAGCCAATAAATATATCTAAAACCTTAAAAATTATTTTAATATACATAAAAACAAAGAAAAATACAAAATTAAATCGAATTTTTTTTCCTTTTTTGGCTTCGATCTACTTCTTATAATTGCTTAATGGCTTAAAACCACTATAGACAAACTCATCTCTCAAAGGTTAAAAACTCTAGTAGATTTTCGCCGGCCAAAGTGGCCTAAATGAGCTTGGCCAACGATTTCTCTCTCCTTCCATCTCTCTTTTCCTCCGAGCATTCTCTCTCCATCCAAAGATCAAAATGAATGAGCAAATGAACATATGGATCGAAATATGTATTCGACAATATCGGGGATCGAAGTGTAAAAAAAGTTATAAATAGTGAAAGTAACGATGAATTGTGAGAGGGTGAAATGTGAAATGTGAGTGTGTACAATGTTTCAAATAGTGTAGCTACAGTAAAATCCCATTTTTCTTTTGTTTATTAGTTAATTCCTTATGCATAGAAAAATTCATCTAAGTTGATTAAATATTCCTACATATCCTCAATGATTTTTCTATGTTCATAAAAAAATTCCTCACACCTTTAAAGCAATTAAATAATTAATTTTACCTCAAAAGCATTATTCATGCAGAGTAAAACTCAAATAAAATATTCGTTGACTATTAAAAAATTCATCCAATAGCATCAAATACTATAGCACCCCTCTAGAAAATATTTTATGCAAATAAGACATTTTTCATGGACAAACAACAAACCTAAAATAATTATTACACGTACTAAATCACTATTCATACATCGTAAATGCAACAAAATATTTATTGAGCATGGGAAGACTATGTTAGCTACTCCGAATATTCTTTCAACCCTTTGTGAATTTTCCATAGCCTCAAAATATTTTTCACATGCCTTTAATATCCTTAAATTTATTGAATAACGTTTTTAACGGGTACCAAATATTACGATTAATATTAAATCATCTAATTAGTTTGAATATTTTCCTTTCCTTAGCCAAATTAAATCTAGATGGATGAATGAATGAGATTTTTGTCAAGTTATCATATACTTATATGGCTAACTTTACTTCCTTTACTTAGTCACCTTTTCTATAAATTTCATGACTTTTCGTTAAATTTTCTAAAGTCAATTCTTAGTCTAATATTTTCTTACTTTATTTGATGTTAATTTATGCTTAATCCAGACTTAATTTACCCATCCTAGCTGAATTTAACAAGTCCATTAAGTTGATTCACTTTTCATTTAATCATTTATCTTCATCGCTTTATTCAATTAAGTCCTTATACTTTAGTCCCTAAACTTTTAATTGTTTCAATCACACCCCTATGTCATATATACACTTGTTATATTAAATGATTTAATCTTGCGCACTTAAGCACTTAATAATTCAATTATAATGCATAATATCAATACATGTATAAATACAATTTTCATTCTAATATAAAATATTAATTTCACAGATTTAAATAAATATTGAAACACATAAAAATGTTTAAAGTTTAGGGGTGTTACATAAATATTTGGGACTTATATGAATTTTTTTCCCTTACTATTTATTAATGGAAAGGTAAAAGGGTAAGCTGGAGTATAGTTTTGCTTTTGTATTCCAGTGAGTTACCATTTTTTGTTTTTTCGGGTTGCATCTGGCAGACTTGAATCCTTGATCTATTAAATATGAGACATGCCATAAGCTGCTTGGTACATCCAATTTCCCTTAGTAAAATTCTTTTCTTTGCTTCTGTTTTCTCCACGGGGCAGCCAAGCGGATGGATTACAGTTTTCCCTGTCCTCTCCTCTGTCCTTGTTTCTGTCTCTCGCAATCGTCCAGGGGATGGATTACAGTTTTCCATGTGATCGATGTACCAGAACTTCAAGTTTAGGTCTGCTGAAACAGAGTCTCAAACCCATTCTTTGTTTTGCTGATGTTAAATGGCTCTTAACTTTATTAAATTTTAACTCATTTGAGATCATTATCTCAATTTTTAATTTTGGATTAAAGTCCTTCAATTATATTTGATTTGAAATTGATTCTTACTATTAGTTTTGATAAAATTATATTCATAGATAAGGATTTTGCATATTAAAAACATACAATTGCTTTAAGAAAAAGCATTTTATTTAATAAAAAAGGAAAAACAGCAAAAGCACATACAATAATAGAAATAAACAGTACAAATACAATTTTCTTTCCCAGTGGTCATACAAGACTTCAATGTGCAATAATTCGACACCTCAATGATTAAGCGTAAGGAAAATCTGGTAGTGACCAGTATTCTAGTTTTCCGAAATAAAGATTTGGATGTGAACATTATTTTTCTCGAATTAAATAGATGCCCAATTTTATTGGATTTTAACTCAATTAGATCATCAATTTTCAATTGCGAATTTGAACAACCTATACCATGAACGATGAATCTTAGATGCAGTCAGATAAAAATGCGATGTGCTGTCAGGCTACCATGAGTCTGCAACCCCGTATGTGGAAGTTACTAGGTTGCAAGATCAGGACTGAGGAAAGTGCACTGATTGGCCAACTTCCCATCTCACATGGAGTAACATTATACGAAGTAATGCACATTCCAATCCCTTAAGGGACACTAGATATGCAGGCCAATAATTCACAATCCTAATGCCTCATTTAAACCAAATCGCAGCAAGCCATTTATATTAACATAAATGTAGAGCACAACCAATGGCCATAATAAAGATTGAAAATCCTAGTTAGCTTATGGTAAGGAAATTGCCATATGAGCAATTTGGTTCAACATCAGAAAACAGGTTGGAATACAACATAGGGGAAGGTAACCTCTCATATCAGTGAACAGGTAGAAAACTAGGCCTCTGAACAGAGAAAATAAGAATATACGAGAGGATTCACTAACATATGCAAGATTTAAACTTTTGTCTGAAGAAGATAACTTCTTGCTCGAGTGGAACAAAATAGAGTGACAATACCGAAATAGAAGCTAACAAAAGCACTGACACAAAAGATCCAAACAGAAATTGGACCATCAGTTTCTTCAAATGACTTCCCTTGCACTGCTGGCAGGTTAGCTGAGTCACACTTGACTCTAGTGGACTCCACACACAAATCTGGATTTCCAGCAAATGCTCCAGGAAACCTTCGATATCCCTCTTTCTGAGGAACAAATCCAGAGAAACTGTTATATGAGAAGTTCAAGAGTATGAGATCTTTAAGCCTGGAAATATTTCCTGGGATTTGACCCGATAAAGTGTTATGTGACAAATCCAAGGCCCTTAAACACTGCATCTTCTCTAAACTGGGAACCTGACCTTCAAGAAAATTGTATGATAAGTTCAAATACTCCAAACCTTGTAGACCAAATAAGCCATGCGGAATCTCCCCATGTAACAAATTATCAGATAGGTCAATTCCAGCTGTAGAAGACAGATGGTAACTGAAGCTCAATTCACTGTTGTCAACAACCAACACAGATATTTTGATCTCAACATTTCGAATCACAAGAAAGGGCTCTGCTGCCAATTGTCTGGCATCTCCATTACTGAACTCAAAGCTAATGTTGAAGTTGCCATCTGGTACTAAGCCAGAGAATTTATTGCCTGAAAAATCCATCATTTGGATCTCTTCAAATGCGAACAGCCAACTGGGTAGACTTCCACTGAATTTGTTTCGAGCCAAGGAGAGATACTTGAGGTTCGACCATTTAGTTATTGCATCATTCAAATTTCCAGAGAGATTGTTGGAGCTGAAATCTACTATCTCAAGCGATTTGCAGCCAGCCAATGTTAGTGGAATCTCACCAGAAATCCCATTGTTGCTTATATCCAATACTTTCAGGCTATCCAACGCATCAAGTTCTGGTTGAATTTGACCAGAGAGATTGTTGCTATTGATTACTAGTGCAAGTAGCTGAAAACACCCAACAATATTTAAAGGAATGGAACCCGACAATAAGTTGTGTGAAATATCTATCACTTGGAGATACGTCAAATTTCCGATCCTTGCTGGGATTTCACCAGTAAGAAGATTGTGAGAAAGAAACAATGCCTGTAGACTTTTCAGCTCAGTGATCTTCAACGGGATACCACCAGAGAAACAATTGTGGGACAAGTCAAGAAAAACAAGCCCTGCTTTCTCTGTTGTCTCTGCAATCTTCGTTGGAAGTGGACCAGATAGATCATTGAAACTCAAATCCAATGCAAGAAGCTTCTCAGAGAAAACAAGTCTAGGAGATATTGCATAATTCAAGTGATTAAATGATAAATTTAAATGTGTTAATTCTTCAAGGGAAGCAATGCATGTAGGAATACCACCCACAATAGAATTAACAGCTAAATTCAAAACATTGAGAGATTGAACGGAAGCAGAAAAACAAGGCAAAGTACCTGAAAACGAATTAGAGCTGAGATTGAGAAAAACCAAAGACTGGAAAAAGTCATGAAGATCACCCGTCAAGTAATTGTTTCCAAGATCCAAATATTTCAATGACTTAGAGTAAAATAAGCTTTCAGGTATTTTCCCATGAAAAGAATTGAAACCCAAGTCAAGTTTTACCAAATTGGTTGAGAAATTACCAACCCACCAAGGAACAACACCTCCCAAACCATGGTTCCCATTTAAAGTAAGTTCCTTTAATTGCCTAAGCCTCATAAGTGAGTCAGGCACAACACCACCAAATCTATTGTGACTAAGATCAAGGGTTTTGAGATTTTGCAATCTACCAAAGCACAATGGGATTTGGCCAGTAAAACTATTTTCAGACAAAATCAGGGTTTCAAGAAACAAAAGATTGCACAAATTGGGGTGAACATGGCCTGACAGATTCATGTTTCTCAAGTTGATTGAAATGACCTGCCCAGTGTGATTTTGACAGACTAGACCTGTCCAGTTTGTGCAGTTAGACCCAAACCATGTTGACAAGCCATGGCTTGGGTCCTGAAGCCACGACCGGAACAGTAAAAGTGAGGCTTTGTCTTCTGGGTTAAGATCAACAGAGCCAGATTGGCATGAAGCACACAACAACAGTAAAGGTACAAAGAACAGGAGTGGCAGTGATTGCAATATACAAGGGTGAACCAAATTCGACATAACACAGGAAGGGAGAGGGTGAAACCCTATATGCTTTCTATAGACCTTGAGATGGAGAACACTATAGGGAACCAAATTCAAACATTGAAAGAAGAAACTGAACCCACTCACTAAACAGTGGATTTATTCTTGGAGGAACGCAGACCGCAGACAGACAGCGAGAGAGTCTCGTATCTTTTTCTCTTTTTTCGTCTTTACAAAATGCGCCCTTAAAGTACTTTCTGAATTGGTAATAGTATACGGTAGTACTGATAAAATCGATACTTTGTTTTTTTGTACGTAACCCCCTCAACTTTGGGTTAAAATACCATTAGCTCTTAAACTAAAAACTTTACACAACTAGCACCTGAACTAATTCTTTAATTTAATTTAGTCCATGCGTTAATACAAAATAGGTTCCGTTGATTACTAACAGAATAATTCACGTACTAGTCGCGTGAATCATTAAAAAAATATATATATCCAAATAAAACAAATAAATTTCTTGATAAAAAACAGAACTAAAAACAAAGAAAATCACATAAAAAAAAAAAAAACAATGACAAAAAAGCCAATTCAGTATCTCTTTTCAGCTGCCTTTCAAATTAACCCAAAAAAAAAAAAATCTTAAATGTTCACTATTCACATCTTGTTCATTCAGACTCATCTCTACTGTGGATGGAGACACAACTGCAATATGGGTCTCCTTTCCTTGCATCTCGCCTGTCCATCCTTTATCATGTCCGTTTGATTTCATTTTTTATTTCATCATCTCCTACTCTTGGTCGTTCGATCTTCATCTCCTACTTTGGGTCGTTCGATCTTCTTCTCGTTCATCCTTCGACATTTTAATGCTCATGGCTTCTATGCTTCCTTCTAGCTTTTTTTTTTTTTTTTTTTAATAATAATTTTCCATCCCATTCTTCATTTCCTGTTTATCTTCAGCCACGTTCTTCCTTTTTTTCATTTTTCCGTGCGATTTCATCATCTCTATATCTCTCATATAAATTGCTCTCTCTCTCTCTCTCTCTCTCTCTCTCACTATATTAGTTTTACCCTCATTATCTCTTCATCTCAATTTACCTCTTAAATCTATTTGATCAATTGCCAAAAAAACTAAAAGAGGAGACTCTTTTCTTATTCATTCTACAATAGCGGTAGGTTTAGTTATCCTGTGCGTTCTACTATTCCATCAATAGTGTTTTTTAAGCATTATTATTTATTTATTATTATTATTATTATTATTATTATTATTTGCCTTTATGCTAAATCACTATGCAAATATATTGTTTTATATATTTTTTTTTGTTTCAACCATTTGATCAAAATTGATTGTTTATGTTTAGGAGCTGTTTAATCAAACGAGTGCTTTCCTTTTTGTTTTTCTCTCTTTCCTTAGGTTTTTTTTTCTTTTTTCCCTCTTTTGACTTTCTAATTTCCTTTTGTGCAATTGCCTAGTTTAGCTCATGGATGCCGGTGTTCGGAGTAGTCATCCGAAGGATCATACATTCTACGGAGGTGCAAAATAAAATAATTTTTTTTTCCTTTTAAAATTCCTAAGATCATACTTGTTTAATCAACTAATCATATATTAACATGAATATAAATATGGGGGAAAGATTACCTCTCCTAGCACGAGAAAACAATCAAGCGAAAAGGGAACCGTCTAAGTGTTTAGCCTTTATTAATAATCCATACAACTTAAACACCTAAAATGAAAGTCATAGAAATTACAGAGTGCTAGCTCCAATTCTTATGTATAGTTAATTTGCCTTCTAAAGAAATCAATCAAGGTTTTTGTGGCAACTCGGGCTTTTGGGAGAGATACGACAACTTAGGATTTTAGAGAGAAAAACATTTTCTCTCTCTTTCTTTTCTTTTTATCGTGTCATTATGTTTTTTTTTCCTTAGCCCTACCTTGCCACCTCTCTCTTTTTTTTTATTTATATAGGGAGTGGCATCCTTGTCCTCTAAGGCAAGGAGTTGTAACATGTGTGAGCTTGTTTGATCTTATCTTTGTAAATCATGAAACTTATCCAATAGAATTCAAGTTTATCCTTTCACCAAAATATCTTATAGACTTTTAAATTAAGTCTAGTCACCTAGACTCTTTTGGTCCAATTAATTATCAATTAATTTTAACTATCCAAATAAATTATGTTAGATATTTTTAGGAAGCCCATATTAGAAAACAATTTTCAATTTACCCTTAAACCTAAATTAAAAAATTAGTTTTCTTTTTAGGTCACTTACTTTTAAATTTGGAACTGACTTTCAAATTAGAAAACTGATTTTTAAAATAAGAAACTTTTCATTTTATGAAAAAATTTCCAAAACATGAAACCTTTTTCCAAAATAGGAAACTTTCAAAACTGAAATTTTTTTCCAAAATCTTTCCTTCTCTTTTATTATGTGAATGCTTAAATTTATACGAGTGAATCAATAAGCTCCTAGATATATTAACAATGTATCAAGAATAAAAAACACATTTTTTATCTCTTAATATATAAATCAAGATTGACCTCTAATAAGGCATCATAACTACCTAATTTTCTAGAGGATTAATTAATCCGTAATTATCTTTCACGAGTATAGTTATCATATAATTCAATACTCATATTAATTTATTATAATGTGATCTTAAACTTATTTATAGTCCGTTCGATTATGATCCCACAACTTTTTTTCGATTCCCAAATGTCTTAGCTCCAAAGTAAACCAACTATATTCTATCGATATACTCACACTTGTAACCATAGATTTCTTAAGCGGACATTCATCAAAATGTAATAAAATAACTCTTTTAGCATATAAGGAATGACATGTCCTATCTCAATCATCCATTTATCTCTATTAGATTCCTAGTACACCTAACGAATCGCCCATATATAACTCTTTACCGAGCCCAACGAAATGAGTATCAAAGTATATAAATCGTCTAACGAGATAATCATGATGACTTCAAGTTAAAGGATCGGTTATACCTATCATGTATGAGATTCTCAAAGACTAAATTAAATGGGTTCTCATGGCGTGAGTCACGTCTAATTATATGTTCTCTAAAATTAATCACCTAAGTGCTTGCTTTAACATCACCATGTCAATAGGCGTGAGATCTCCTATTGCTATCTTATAGCATGAGCATAGAACTCATAAGTCTTACCGTATATGGTCAATATCCATTTTTGATAATGCTACGACTTAGGATATTTAATGATATCATTTAAGTGTATTAATATTTGTCTCACATCTTTTGATCAATCATTAATACAATACATATCATATGGATTTTTATCTAATTCTATCAAAATATAAATGACAAGAACTAATAGAAAGACTTCTTTTACTAATTAAATAAAGAATGCAATAATATAATAAGTCAAACCATCCAAATAAGATTAGATCTTAGGCACTTATACTAAAAATATTCCACTTGCACTAGAGTCAACCGACCATATCTCTTATGCTCAATGATCGAACAAGCGTCTCATATTTTTACTATGACAAAGGTTTAGTCAAGAGGTCAGCTATGTTATCGTTAGTGTGGACTTTTTCTATCCTTGTATCACTATGACTGATAATCTCTCTAATCAAGTGATAGCGTTACGGTACATGGCTAGATTGTTGATAAAACCTTGGTTCCTTAGCTTACGTTATGGATCCATCGTAATCGACCATCAAGCCATACGACATTAGAAGAAATCTTTTTTTGATTCTTCCATCCTAAATCTTTTAGTATCATGTTAATGTACTTGCCTTAAGAGAGCCCTCAAATTCTATGTGATCTATCTTTATATATATCCACTCCTAGAATATAGGCTATTCTTTCATGTCATACATGGAGAAATTCCTAGATACCTAATCTTTTGTAGATTGTAACATGATGATATTATAGCTAAGAAGTAGTTTATTGTCTTACTATAGAACAACCAAGATTACTAAGCTCGTACCAACCTTTTGCATACACAAAGTTCATCCTTGTTTTTGTTAAAATGTCAAACCCTTTGATTATTTCATTAAAACATTAATTCTAACTCCTAGATATTGCTTAATTCTATAAGCATACTTTTGTAAATTGTAAATCTTATTTGTATATTTTTTGGTGACAAAACCCTCGGGGTGTGTCATCTACACATCCTTATTCAATTTTCTATAAAGAAAATAGTATTTTCATCCATTTTTTATATCTAGGAGTCGAGTGCCTAACATTGCCTCTTTATAGTTATTAGCTCCGTCATCCTCTCGAGGATACACATCTCCATGTGTTGAGACACAAAGATCGTATCTTTTATCTCTTAATGAACTCGTTTAGTCTTATGAAGTTTTTGTGTATCTGTTTGTGGGTAGTTACAATGAGTTGTAACTTATCTACTTGCCTTCCACTAGTGAATTGTTAATTTTGTGAGTCTACTCGAATCTCATTAAGTTTATATTTTATCCCACTACTTCTAGCATCTTTAAATTTCTTCTCAAGAAATACATCATGTTTAGCCATGAACAACACTTTATTCTAGTGATAGAAAAAGTGATATCCATTAGTTTCTTTTGGATATCTCACAAACTAGCACTTCGCTGATTTGGGCTCTAGCCTATCTTATCTAAACATTTGACACATGTTTTAAAGCCTAAAATCTAAAGGAAAGACTAATTCACTTTCTTTTCTTTTCATATCTCTTATGGAGTATGATCAATATATTTTGTTGGAATCCTATTCAAAATAAAAGTTACAATAAGGAGTGCATATCCTAAAATAAAATAAGAATATTAGTTTGACTCATCATGGATCGAACCATGTCTAACAATATCTTATTTCTCCTTTTAGACACACCATTCAATTATGGTGCTTTAGGTGGAGTCCATAGATTGAGAATCTCATTCTCTTCTAAGTGATCTAATAATTCACTACTTAAGTATTCATCACCTTGATATGATTAAAATGCCTTAATACTTTTATCAATTTGTTTCTTGACTTTAAATCTAATTTCTTTGAACTTTTAGAATGCTTCAAATGTGTCTTATAC